TTTTGTGCCTTTTAAATATTCAAGGACTTCACTACAAGAATACATTTGATGAAAATGAAGTGTAAGACACATTTTTCATAGCTTGAATGGCCTTTAAATGATTTGAAAGCGGGAGCTCAAGGGAAAGACTGGTTTTTCTTTCTCTTAGCATTCATCACTTTCGAGCGAACATTGCAAATATGTGTTAGATGCTAAGATAAGTAAGTAAGTTGATCTGGAAACTCAACGACCTTCATCATATACATTATTCATGCTATTGTGGGAGGAACATGTTTTCTGCATTATATATATATTTATCATAGTTTCAGAAAATTTCCATTTGTCTTATACAAACTGAGAGGTAGGCTCTCTGAATTGTTTCTTGCTTCCTCTCATTCTGTGTAGAGTGAGTTCTTGTCTAGATTCTAAATTGATCAGTAGCAGAAGGAGATTCTGTGTCTTCCAAGGAATAATTTAATGAGTTTTTGGTTCTGAAAAAAAGAGAAGAAACATAGTTCAGTGAAGTCAGAAAACCCTGGGTTCAAATTCCTTCCCAATCGAATTGCCAGCTCAGTAAGCTATGCTTTGCCCTAAAACTTAGGAAAAGGAAAATGATGAGATGTAGAGTTTTACAAAGTACAGATACTAGAAATCTATGGATGGTCTGAGGAACAGGCTTGCTGTGCTGTGGCACACTAAATTGAAAAGATTTCCCTCATTCTCTAAGATCTTCACTTCCGATTTCTTGGTCAAGGACAGTCTTAGGTTTCCTACTGGTCCTTTGCCTTGTCAGTTAGTGAGATCCTGGAATAGGAGTGCCAGAGGCTCTCCAGCCCCTCTGCCCAGGTACCTTCCAGTGAGTGTTGGGTCCCTTGTTGTTATCGGATGCTGTAGGGTTGGATCCCGGCTCATGGCAACTCCAAGCACAGTGCTAGCCATTCCTGTGTTATCCCCATGGTTGCTGTGAATGGAATTATTATTCATAGGGCTTTGATTTGCTGGGTTTTGGATGTATAACCAGCCCCTTTAACCAATTTGTGAAGCCATGGTGGTATGGTGGTTATGTACTAGGCTTCAATCTGCAAGGTTGGCACTTAAATACCACCAGCAGCTCCTGGGGAGAAAGAGTGGACTTTCTACTTCCATAAACAGTTACTGTCTCAGAAACTGACAGGGGGTGCTATGAGTCAGCATTTCCTTGATTGCAATGAGTTTGGTTTGATTTGGTTATCCAATTCATCCTAGTCTGGAAACTCTATGGAAACCTGTTCATTTTCCACTGACAGACAAGTCATGGACATAGGTGTAGTGATTGGTCAGGAATCAAGCCCTGGCCTGCCACATGGAAGATAGGAATGAGTCACGATATGCCTCATTGAGCCATGATATGCCTCACTGTTGACTGTGTTCATAGGTGAACACAATAGGGGCTCTAAAGGTACTAGGACTCTTTGCAGAGTCAGCCCAGGGCTCTAAGCTGATGATGAAGTCCGAGAAGACTGAGACTATTAGCAGCCTATGTTAAGTTGAATAGCAGTGGTTTTCATTGGCAATTAAAACCCAAAGATTGATGCCAAATTACTTTACTCAGAACTTAGAATATAGCTGTGTAGAATAAGCATCTATGAATTCTTAGCTAATCATTTCAGCTCAGGATGGTCTGAAGTTCTGATTTTTTAAACCTGATTTTGCCTCCAGCATTTGTAGGTAAGGACTTTTCTTCCTCCTGTAGATTTTTTCTCCCCAGGGTTTGAATATATTTTTAGCTAGACTAAATGCATGTCTCCCACTAATGAAGTGAACAAAGCCATTTTCTATACCCTGATGACTTCATGTCATGAGGAGTAGACAGCTGGTTCTACTAGTTACTTACTTGGTTAACTTTGGAAATAATAGCTCTGGATCAATTTCGGTAAAACACAAGTCATCTGTTTTATCAAAAGCCCTTTGATGGTGTGTTGACTTAAACCATCATTATACAGAAAGCTACCGCATTTGGTGTCCCAGGAGTGGACTTTTCAACTAATTTGCTTTGTAGAATTCACTAGGAGGTCATACTGTATGTTGGGGTAATATGCAGATTTATAAAAACTACTTCAGTGAAGCAATTGGCAATGACATATGTTGAAATATGTTCTGAATTGTTACATAGAATTTGAGGCCATACACTCCCATTATTTTGCATATTCTGAAGAAAAGTCTTTGTTGGTTTCTGTGGAAGATAACGTCTCGGCTTAAGGCATTTTCTGAGTTTGCTTTTTAGCAGCAATGGAATGCCCATTTATTGAGAAAAAAAGAAGTAAAAATCAATTCGCATCCAACTATTTACACTCATTGCACCCCGTGTGGCCCAGGGTAGCACTTTGCTCCACACAGTATTCAATGCTGCTTTGTGTGCACCAGGCATTCCCTTTGAAGTACCTCTGGGTGAGCTCATATTTTCCATATTTTGATAAACAGTGCTAACTGTTTGCACCACCCAGGGACTCCACAAAGGACTTAGGAAAACTTTAAGTTATCATGGTCAATTCCCTGCCCACCTTTTACTCAGTTGCTTCATAAGCCATATGGGATTGCCAAGAGAAACTTGAAATATCTATAGTACAGGGATTGTGTGTGTGTATGTGTGTGTGGATTCATGTATGAAATAAATGGCTGTTTAATGCACGATGTTCAAAAGTGTCTCTTCGAAGTTGTCACAATTCACAGTATGGACAGATACTAAGCTTACATGGGAGCATGTAGATGTGAGTTGAGATGTGAGTTGAGTGGTTCTGGCTGGAAGTGGGATCCTTTTCCTACATACAACCAACAGAACCCATAGCTTGTCCATTTGACAAAGCAGGCACTGTCTGGCACACACGTATGCCCATGGCTGCCCTCTGTTCCTGTCTACTCTCTGGGGATCTCCTTAGTCTCTTCTCTAGGTTTACCATAGCTGTACCTCTGGATGTGTCCCTTTCTATCACGTGGAACATTGGGTCAATAGGTGTAGAATGTACTTCCTGCTGGCGATGTTGGTGTCAGTGAACATTGGTGTGCACAGTGTCCTATGCGTGCATGTAGCTTGGACTACTGTCCACTGGGCCCAGGACCATGCCTGTAGCTGAGAACAATTCAGGTTGTATAATACTATGCTAATTAAAAAATATGTGTACCTCAGAAATGGATACCTTCTTCTTATTTATGCAAAACTTCCCTAAGAACTAGCAATAGATTTCAAGTAAACAATAATTTTTACATCTTTCCATTCTGTTCAACCTTTATCACAAACACTGCTATATTGAGTCAATCTTAATGTTTCCTACCAGGAGGTGTGGGCTGTTCATTGGTCTGGGGTGGAAATATTAGAACTCTGTCCAAAGATTCCCTCCAAATGTCCAACAGACCACTCTTCTGGGGTAAAGAGTCAAGCAAGCAGATTCTAACTTGCTTCAATCAGCTTCTTATTGTGCTAGATATTGCCGTGGTATACAGAAGCAAACTACTACTAAAAATTGTAAACACCCCTTTTCCAATTATTCTCTTCATTCCTAGATGAAGACAGTGCATCAGAGAGCTGTATACTTGAACTTCACTGCTTGACTCTGTGTAGAATCATGTCTTAGTGACTTATACTGTACCCTTGGAGTGTATCAGAAGTGCCATGAGACTAGGCTGTATATAACTTGCCTTTGTCTGTTTTATGGTGAAGGGATGCTGTTCAGGACATAGTTCAGCACATCATATGTATTGATGGGGACTCCCAGGGTGAATTTCATCAGTCCCTGGTAGCAGGGCACTGTCTTCTCCTTAAAAAAAGAAAAAAAGAAAAGAAAGAGCAAAATTTAATCCTATGTTATATGCTAAACATAGTTGATATCCTACCCCCCACCTCCACCTTTTTTCCCTAGGGGACTCACCTTTAGCAATTTGATGGGTATATTCTTCCTTTCTCAAGTCCTCCTCCTCCTATGACTATATATTCCTATATACTTTCTACTGGAGTTGAGGGGGTACAAAAAAACGCCGGAATTACGCTGGACAGAGTGGAGCTTTTGTAGTACATGTTTCCCCGCTAGGTGAGCATTGAGCGACTCGCTGTGAGTTAGTGCACTCAGTGATGTCAACTGGGAAGGTTCTCCCTGAGCATAGTGAATTTTTTTGTGAAAGCAGTTTTGGTCTAACCTCATTTTTTGTGATGGCTGATTTAAGAGAACAATGTGCAGCTGTGAAATTTTGTTTCTGCTAGGAAATATGCCACAGAAACGGTTGCAATGTTGCACACAGCTTATAAATACAGTGCGACAGCAGAAACTCAAGTCTATGAGTGGTTTTCTCATTTCAAAAGAGGTGAAATGTCAGTTGATGACAACCCTCGTTCTGGATATCCATCAACTTCCTGAACGGGCAAAAATGTCGACTTTTCCTGCATGTGGAATTCATTTCAACAGGTCAGACTGTTAATCAAGTGTTCTATTTAGAGGTTCTGAAAAGATTCTGTAATGGTGTGTGACAAAAAAGGCCTGATTTGTTGCAGACGGGAGACTGTTTTTGCCACCACGGCAATGCACCTGTTCATGCAGCCATCTCAGTGAGTCAGTTTACGGAAAAAACCGTGTGCCTCTCTTGCCCCACACACTTTACTCACCTGACTGCACTCTGTGGCACCTCCCCCTAAGGACCGGCCTTGGCTGGGTGGGTGAGTGGAACCCCAGTGCCCCTGGCTGAGCAGAAGGGACTAGACCACGTATTTGCCAGCCGTTCTCGCAAAATGAAAAGCAAACTGATGGAGGGACCGTGGTATCCATAGACCTGAGGAGAATGGCTAAAGATTGGAAACATGGTCAATTAATGATTGACCTTAGAATTTGAGATTTTGTGCCATTTTCTTTGATATTTATGGAAAATTTTAGAATACCATCACATGAAAGTTTCCAATAGCCAAAATGAGTTTTTATCATTTCCATACAGATGAAATTGATCTGATTTCCCCTTTTCCCTTAGGATTAGAGAAGCGAAGAGACGGGCAAATCCGAAGAATGTTTCCACGGGGTAACCTGGCTGTCACTCCCTGGGTCCGGAGAAGCGTGAGCGCGCTGGTCTTATTCCTCTCCCTCCCGCTGTGTCGCGCAGCTCATTTGGAAGGCAAAACGGAGAATCAGTTCATCTGGAAGCCAGGTAGGAACGTCCTGGTGGTGCCTTTGTCCGATTCTCATTACTGAGAAGAACATTCTTTCCAGTTTTGTTCTAATTTATGGAGTAGGGGAGAATATCCAGAGAGGAAGAATTGACTCTCCTTTATAATAAAGCTTAGATTGAATTTTTATTCCCGCATAATTGTCCCCTCCAACCGTGATGCTTGTTATCCTTCGGAATTTTCATGTTGTTGTCCATTAAAGTTAGGATTTCCATAGTTACATCTGCTTCTCCATTGTCAACTATCTCACCACCGTGAGCACATTTGTAGCAAAAGTGACATCTGAATTGAGCTGCTACCCTCAGCTAAAAATGATTTGGATCAGTTGGGCATGTGTCTTTCTTTGGGGGTTCAAACTAGCTAGCAATTTATCATTCAGTACTTCCAGGCATTGATCCGTAATATCTAGGTTTCAGAGCATGAAAAATTATCTTCACAACTTTGTTCATTAGTTGTAACTATAAAGTCACCTTAATGTATTTTGCGATACTTTACTCCCTCACATATAATCCTTCCTGCCTGTGAAAACATTGTATTGAATCTTGGAGACTTGTGTATAATGCATGCGCTTCTCTCAATATTTTCTTAATTGGACTGTGGGAAATATCTGTAATGCTTAATTTCAAAGCCTAATAATTTATTAACTACAATTATGGAAATTAGAAATCCCCAAACATCTTGGCTCTTTGTATTATTGATAGTTTTTTTTTGCTCCAGATTTTAATTTTCTTAAAGTATCACAATCAGATCATTTAAGATATTTATTACTGTTTCCAAGGGTCCATTCTTGCAGATATGGATAACTTATTCACTTACTATATTGGACTTGAAAGACATTATGTCATAGAAGATCTATGGTCCTCACAGAGTTTTCAATTTGGTCTCATCATCTGTAAATTAAATAGACTGCAAACATATTGTGTCATCACGGGAATATGGATAAAAATGATATTTGTAATATTTAAGTAACTGCAAAAATGAAAGTGAATTATGCTCTACAGTATATTAAGTGAAAAACCTAGCATCATTAGAGATACAGTCTGGAAGAAATGTAATTGCATTAAAGCTCCTATAAATTAATTTAATTATAGGCTCTAACACTGAACTAGTGATTTGTATTTTCCCCTCATGGTCGTTTTAGGAAGCTGTGGAGATAGTTTCAAAAGTCAACATTGCATTTCTGTGAATAGAGCTATTTTATTTTAATCCCAAAAGATCAGACATTTTACCAAATCAGAATAAATGCTTTTATTTGACTATATTCCTGTCTAAAGTTTTCAAGAAATGCAATTAAAATGGGAAGTGTGAGTTTTGAAACATGATGAAAGTGGTTAAGAGACTGTGCTTATTTTGACATTGCATGTAAATTAAGCACGCTTTTCTCTACATGGGCCATTGGATCAGGGCGATGCAGACCTGCATGGCAGGGGACGCGTTCTTTGAACACTGTCAGACTTGAGTTTCAGAAGTGAGAATCTTTTCTATCCCTTGCGATGCATTCTCCAAGATGGGCGTCCAGGCTGTCACTCTCATGCCTTGGTTTTCACCGTCACCTGCTCTCCGGCAAGTGTCAGCAAAAGGTGATTCGGCCAATGGTAATGGTCTGTTATTTCCCACGTAGATTTCTAAAATTATAATCTAATTATTTGTACCTTGACAAAATCTAAAATACTGAAATAAGCTTAAAGGCACATAATTTAAAATCCCCTAAATCCCAGTTTCCATTATTTGATGTACCCATTAGAAATTTTGGGGGGTATAAATGTGTGTGTGTGTGTGTTTACCATATATACTTGTGTATAAGCAGAGTTTTTCAGCACATTTTAAATGCAATTTTTGTGGTAAAATTAGGTGTCTCATCTGATATTCGGGCCAGCTTATACTTGAGTATATACCGCATATAAATAACAACAATGCACATATACATAGATGCTGATGATGAATTAGAGTGTTGCCAAGAAAAATGGGCACAAAGTAGATAATTAATAAATGTTTACCAAAAGGATTATTTTAAAGACTGGGAAAGTGAGCGCAGGCAAAGGTTTGTGCAGGACCCCTGAACTAGGATCCCTGATGGGTTTTACCACTTCTAGGCCTGTGGCAGGCATCCCAAGGAGGCATAAGAGGTTGAGAACTAAACTAGTAAGCAAATGGTTGGCAGTTTGAATCTACCCAGAGATGCCTCCAAACAAAGACTTGATAGGTTGCTCCCCCAAATGCCCAGTCTTGAAAACCCTACAGAGAGCAGTTGTACTTTGTTTTCAACAGCAACTGGCTTGGACTTTTGTTGTGTTTTTTTTACCTGCCCCAGTTGCCATCTAGTAATGTGTTAGGCGGGATTATCTAGATAAAGAAATCCAGTGACAAGAAAGAACTGATATCAAGAAGTCATTATATAGCAAGAAGGCCTCCTAGCCCAATCCCACTCCTGTCCATAAGCCAATGGTAGCCCCGAAGTCCCTCTTCCGATCCACATAGCTGCAGGTTGATGATGCAGAAAGGTGAAGCAGGAAGAACACAGGCCAGTGAGTGCAGTTGCCTGGGTCCAAGGTGGGTGGAAACATGAAAGAGTGTCAGCAGCTCTTGCGGTCAGGCTGTTCACACTGAGGCAGGCAGAGGAGGTGGGCAGAGTCCCAGCAAGCAGAAAGGGGAAGGGGCTGAGAGAGACGGGGAGGTTCCCAGCTTCTCCCTAATAATAAGGCCACACCTGCTAGGAGAACTAAACTAGTTATCATCAAGCTCTGACCATTGGACTCCACCTCTATATGTTCATGAAAATTCAAGTTGACATAGATTACCCAAGTACCACAAGTAGATTCTAACACATGGTGAACTTATGAATAAAACTCTGTTTCACTGGGCTCTCTTCCTTCCTTTTTGCTTGTATTTTTTGAACTTTTATTGTAATCTAAGAGAAAGTTTACAGTACAAATTGATTTTTCCCTTCAGGAATTCACACACATTTAGTTTTGGGACATTGATTGCAATCCCCACAATGTAATAGCATTCTTCCAACTTCCTCTTTGAACATACCATTTTCCAATCATCCTCTTTCTTATTACTTTTTGTCTTCTGAGCTTTATTCTAGGCAAATACTGCCTTTTTTTATCTCATGTGTTTGATTGTTCCAAGGCATGACAATCTCCTTTGTGTTATTGTTCATCATTAGGCCTCTCCCTTGGCTAACAGCTGAGCCATGGGCATGAGTTCAGTTCCAAACTTGAAGGGTCTTTAGAGCCATAGTCGGGGGGAATCTCTCAGTCTATGTCAGACCAGTGGGAAGACCACTGGCTTTTATTTTACTATTTTGAATTTTCTTCCAGATTTTTCTTCAATTCCAAGTTTGATCGCTCTCAGAGTGGTCAGCTAAAGTAACCAGGCATCATCTGATTATTTGGGTCTCAGGGTCAGGGAAGTTGTAGTTTGTGTGCTTTTAATGGATAATTTTTCAGAAATAGATAATCTAGTCTCTATTTTGGTATACATCTGGGTACATGTAAATACCAGCTATAGATGGCTAGATCTGAAGATTCCTACTCTATACCGAACATGGATTCAGAAGAGGATGTGGAACAAGGGATATCTGATGTATCTTGACTGAACGGAATATAAAATGTTTCCTTGGCTATGCAAAGGCATATTACTGGTATGAAAAACTCTGCCCGAAATAGGGGACTCAAGAACACTAAATTGTTCTCACTCGGAACCTCGGCATCGATCAGAAGTAGTATTCTCCAACAGAATAAGGAGGTACTGCATGTTGTAAATCACTAAAGACATACTTCAGGGTTGAATCCTTTCACCAAATGATTTCATCTGTCTGGTGAGTAAATACTCCAAGAAGCTGAAGGACATTAAGCAGAGTATGGCATCTGGATTGTAGAAAGACTTTTTAACAACCAGCAATATGCAGATGACACAATCTAGCTTGCAGAAAGTAAAGCGAACCTGAAACGCTTCCTGACGAAGATTAAGGAATGCATACAGCCTTCAGTATGGATGATGACCCATGTCAATACAGAAAGATCCTCACAAATGGACCAAGCGACACATTAATGTTGACTAGAGGAAAGATCAAAGTTGCCAAGGATTTCATTTTACTTGGATCCACAAGTAGCAGTCATGGAAACAGCAATCAAGAAGTCAAAGGACCTATTGATTTGGTGACATGTGCTGCAAAATATAATATTTAAAGTGTTAAAGAGTAAGGATGTCACTTTACGGACTGAGGTGTGTCTGACTCAAGCCATGGTCTTTTCGATAACCTCAACTGCCTGTGGCTGCTGCACAATGACTAAGGAAGACCAAAGACTAGTTGAGGCAATTAAATTATGAGGTGGTGAGGAATACTGAAAATACCCTAGCCTGCCAGCACAGCATACACACCTGTTAGGGAGGCAGGACAGCCGGACGCTCCTTAGAGCATCCTGATTCGTAAAGTAGGGGGTCAGTGAAAAAGAGGAGCACCAGCAGTGAGATTCACTGACAGAGTGGCTGCAGCAATGGGGTCAGATGCAAGCACAGCTGGGGAGATGGTGCAGGGCTCTGCAAGTCTCCATTCTGGGGTAACCTTCTGTCTGTATGAGTGGGAAGCAGCACCACAGCACCTAACAACAACAACAATTACAAATGTATACAAACACACATTGTTTCATGCAGCTGGAATTGTATTCTTCATCCTTTTTTTTGCAGTTTGCATTTTTCTTTCTGTTTTAAAAATCTACTGGGGGCTCTTACAGCTCTAATGCTCTTATAACTTTCCATACATCAATTGTATCAAGCATATTTATACATATGTTGCCATCATCATTTTCTGAACATTTACTATTTGAGCCCTTGCTATAAGCTCCTCCCCCCCCCACCCCATGACCCCTTGATAAATTATAAATTAGTATTATTTTCATATCTTACACTGATCACTGTCTTCCTTCACCCACATTTCTGTTGTTCATCCCCCAGGGGTGGGGGGCAGGTGTTATGT